TACTGGGAAGCTCTTACTGCCTCTTTAAGCAGGTCTGACTATGAAACAGTCTTCCCCTTGTTAAAGAGGCAGTCCAGTAGGTGTTGACACAAACACTATGGGACCAAGTACCTAGGCCTGAATCCCAGTTTTGCCCCTTACTGGCTGGAGACCTTGATTCCATAACCCAACTTCAGTCTTCTCATCTGGAAAATGTGGATGGTAATAGTACACACTTTATAGGGCTGTTGAAAGGATGAAATGAGTCAATACATGTTAAGTGCTTGGGACAATGCCTAGCACATAGGAAATGCTATAAAGTGTTGGTTAAGTAGATAAAAATTCATGAATTCTGTATGTGCAATTCAAGCTGGCTTCATCAAAAAGGATTTTTTATTTATCTTTTTGGCTCTAGTTTGGAGATGAGCCTGGAGTCAGGGCCTTGAATAACATCATCAGGTCATTGACTCTTAGTCTCTATCTTTGCTGTGTTTCCCTTTGCTTTTGCTTCATTCTTAGCAGATCCTTCCCTCCAGGACAAACAGCCATGGCCACCAGCAGCTCCTGGAGACCATTCCACTGGCTCAGCAGCCCCAGCAGAACAAATATGTCTCTCACCCAAAAATTCCAGCAAAGGTCTCACATGAATTCTCACTGACTTGGCTTGGGTCCCAGGCTCTCCCGCCTAACCAGTGTGATATTCTGATTCTAGGCAGGGGAGAAAGCAAGGGAATTCAGAGAAACATCTACTTCTGCTTCATTGACGACACTAAAGCCTCTGACTATGTGGATCACAACATGCTGTGGAAAATTCTTAAAGAGCTGGGAATACCAGACCACCTTACCTGTCTCCTGAGAAACCTGTATACAGGTCAAGAAGCAACAGCTAGAACTGGACATGGAACAGTGGACTGGTTCAAAATTGGGAAAGGAGTGAAACAAGCCTGTTTATTGTTACCCTGCTTATTTAACTCATATACAGAGTATATCATGTGAAACCCCAGGCTGGATGAATCACAAGCTGGAATTAAGGTTTCCAGGAGAAATAGCAAGAATCTCAGATATGCAGATGATAGCACTCTAATAGCAGAAAGTGAAGAGGAACTAAAGAGGTTCTTGATGAGAGTGAAGTGAGTGAGTGAAGTCGCTCAATCGTGTCTGACTCTGCAACCTCATGGACTGGAGCCTACCAGGCTCCATTGTCCATAGGATTTTCCAGGCTAGAGTACTGGAGTGGGTTGCCATTTACTTCTCCAGGGGATCTTCCTGACCCAGGGATTGAACCCGGGTCTTCTGCGTTGCAGGCAGATGCTTTGCCATCTGAGCCACCAGGGAAGCCCTGGTAAGGCCCCTGATGAGGGTAAAAAAGGAGTGAAAAAGTTGGCTTAAAACTCAACATTCAAAAATCTAAGATCATGGCATCCAGTCCCATCACTTCACGACAAATAGATGGGGAAAAAGTGGAAACAGTGACACATTTTATTTTCTTGGGCTCCAAAATCACTGCAGATGGTTACTAAAGCCACAAAATTAAAAGCTATTTGCTCCTTGGAAGGAAAGCTATGACAAACTCAGACAGCATATTAAAAAGCAAAGACATCACTTTGCAGACAAAGATTCATATAATCAAAGCTATGGTTTTTCCAGTAGTCATGCACAGATGTGAGAGTTGAACCATAAGTAAGGCTGAGCACCCAAGAATTGATGTTTTTAAATTGTGGCGCTGTAGAAGACCCTTGAGAGTCCCTTGGACAGCAAGTAGATCAAACCAGTCAATCCTAAAGGAAATCAACCCTGAACATTCACTAGAAGGACTGATGCTGAAGCTGAAGCTCTAATACTTTGGCTACCTGACACGAAGAACTGACTTATTGGAAAAGTCCTTGACACTGGGAAAAATTGAAAGCAAAAGGAGAAGGGGACAGCAGAAGATAAGATGGTTAGATAGCATCACCAACTAAACAGGCATGAATCTGAGCAAACTTTGGGAGATAGTCAAGTACAGGGAAGTCTGGTGAGCTGCAGTCCACGGGATCACAAAGAGTCAGACATGAATTAGTGACTGAACAACAACTTGAATCCACTACTGCTTCCAAGGGTGAATCTCCCCTACAAAGTTTGGGTGTCCTCTGACCATGGGAGAAACAACGGTATGAGATGGGGGACAGAAGTGCTGTGAGCTGAGGGAAAAAAAAGTAGTCCAGTGTCCCTGCCCATCTATGGGTAAGGATGGCTGAAGACATTCAGTGGGCTCAGGTGAGGGACTATTACCAATTTCTATAGAACAATTTCAATATTTTAATAACCAGTATTGCTGTACACACCATTCAGATTATCAGCCTGTTGATATATATTGATTTAAATTTATCACACTAGTTGTGTTATTTATAATACCTGTTCTGCATTGGCTTTTCTCCTTTTGTCTTCTCTTATTATTTCTATTTTTCTCTTATCACCTTTAAGTACTACATTCCACTTCTATTTTTAGTAATTACCATAGATATTACCTTTAATTATTCTTTAATTCTTTAATTTTCATTTTTAACTTTTTGAAGCCTATTAATAATCAATATATTGACTTTCCTCTCTGATAATACAAAGGCCTCAAAATATCTTAATTCTATTTAACCCCAGAATCTACTTACTGTGGTATATTTTAATCCTTCATATATTTTTCAAATCCACAAGATATTATTATTACTACTGTTTTTTGAAGATAACATTTATTAACAGTTCCACCTTCTTTGCTCTTCACGTCTTCTTGCTGCTTTATGTTATATGTCATTTTCTTTTTACTTGAAGTACATACTTTACAATTTCCCTCAGTGAGGTCTTCATGAATATCTTTATTTTGCCTTATTTCGTAAATGCTTTCACTTCATTAACACCTTTTCAATGCTGTTTAATATGTCATTAAACACAACACTTCTAGTAATGTTGGTTATTGTAGTTTTCCTTTCTAGAAATTCTTTTTGATTTTAATAAAACTTGTTCTGTCATTTTTTTATAGTTTCCTATTCCTTGCAGACATTTTCCAATCTGATTTTTTTCAACTTAATATGTAGGATTTTTTTCTTTTAAGAATGTGGGTCTGATCATTCCAATATATAGTGTCTTTGAGGGTATCTTTCTGCTGTCTATATTTCCTGTTTCTTCTCATTCATGGTGTCTGTGCCTTATTATTTTTTACTATGTGCTAGCCATTATACATGGAGAAGGCAATGGCACCCCACTCCAGTACTCTTGCCTGGAAAATCCCATGAATGGAGGAGCTTGGTAGGCTGCAGTCCATGGGGTTGCTAAGAATTGGACACGACTAAGCAACTTTACTTTCACTTTTTCACTTTCATGCATTGGAGAAGGAAATGGCAACCCACTCCAGTGTTCTTGCCTGGAGAATCCCAGGGATGGGGGAGCCTGATGGGCTGCCGTCTATGGGGTCACACAGAGTTGGACACGACTGAAGTGACTTAGCAGCAGCAGCCATTATACAAAAAATTATCTGAATAATTATTTGATGTCTAGGATGAAAGTGCCTTCCACTACAAAGGATTTGCTTTTACTTCTTGCATGTCTGGGATTACCATAAATTAAGATTAATGCTCGAGGTTCCCTGGAAGGTCAATCAAAGTGCAATTCAAGCTGCAGTGACTTGTGAGGATTCATATACCTATGGTTCACATTTACCTTGAGATGTAGTTCTTTGAGGTCTCAGCTTATTTTGGGGAGGCCCTACCATTACATCCTAAGTAACCCTGGGTACTGATTTCTTTCTCCCTTGCCTCTGCTAGACCATCAAAACCAATTTTCAAGTTTGTTGAACTTAGCAATACTCACAGGGAAAATGAAGCTTTTGCACTCGTTTCTCTCTCTGGATTTCCACTTCCCCATCATTCTCTTCCTGGCAAGTTCTTACTACCATGTCATCTCCTTGATGGCTTTGAAGGCATCATTATTTACAACCAGCTTTGAAGCTGTTTTCAGATAATCTAGAATTGGTCTACCATTATTGGAAATAGGAAGCCATGGAATGTCTTCCTCGGCACACAGCATGTGCTCAGTAAATGATGGCTGAATTAGTTGAATTACCATAATTTCCTAAACATACTCCCTTTTTTTTTATTTGTACAAAGACTGTTGGTTTGTACAAGAACTGTTTCCTATTCTTAAAACACATAGAAAAAAAACACACACATAGAATGCCCATATTCTACCATCTAACAAGTATTAGAACAAATACCACCTTTTTCTCAAATTTATTCCTGTTGTCTCTACTTTCCCAAATATGAATCCTATTTCTTCTCCATCTAAATTCTCACAAGACCTTGTCTGTATCATTCTCTGGGTACTTAACTAGATAGAAATGTTTTAATATGCTCTTCTGGTCAAGGCTATGGTTTTTCCAGTGGTCATGTATGGATGTGAGAGTTGGACTGTGAAGAAAGCTGAGCGCCAAAAAATTGATGCTTTTGAAGTGTGGTGTTGGAGAAGACTCTTGAGAGTCCCTTGGACTGCAAGGAGATCCAACTAGTACTTTTAGGTGTGATGTCCTGGGAAGGGAGTCTCTGAATATTTATTCTTCCCTACTGCTGGAAGCAGGATGCAGCCTCTTTAAAAAAATGTCTTACATTTGTACAGTACTTTATAATTATTAACAATAGGGTGTTCTCACATACTTGCTTTCTACTTTCATATTCACCATCATCATGTGGCAGATGAGAATCAGGGCAAGAGAGACTAAATATTACTGAACAGAGCCACAAAGTCAGAAATAAAACCCAAATCTTCCTTCTTCAAGCCCAGGGATCATTCCAGGGTACTCAGCTGCTTCCCCATATTATTTTGTGCCATTAGTCATTAATGTGCATTAACATCTCAGGTCTTTGGAAGCATACATTCTATACATGAAAGCATGTGCAGTACAAGAGTTAGGTTGCAGGCAACAAACAGAGGAGCTGGCTCTGGAAGGTACTTCATACACACCTCTGAAGTGAAGGTTTTCTGCACTTGGTCTTCCTTACCTCACAACCTTGGTTCCATTTCTCATGACTTGCATGTCCACCATACAGCCCCCAGTAACATAGGCGGCTAGATTCAACTCTGAGAATTCGGCCTAAAAAGAGAAAGCAAAACAATAAGGATTCACAAGGTACTAGGGATGCCAATGACTCATAACATTTCTATGTGCCAAACATACATTTAAATCTCATGTGAAAGATGAAGATGCTGAGACACAGAGAGGCATGGTGACATGTCCAGGGTTACATCACTACTAATTTCTACCTCCTTGAAGGTGGAAGAAGGTACTCTAACTCGAGGGGAGCAGACAGGCAGGGGGAGAGAGAGATAGGAGATAGTGGTGTAGAGGAGCTCCATAGTTACCAAGAGAGGGGCAGAGACGAGATATAAGCAGTATTCTTAATTTGGGTCCCCACTAAGGAGTATTCTTCATGTTTATGTGCCAACTACAGTGCCGCATTTGTGTTTTATTAGACATTTCTGTATCCTTCTAAGTTCATCTTTTTGTTGGCTTATTTGGTTGCACAAGCTTAAAAAATTTCTGTTGCTATTCCTATGGAATGTATGTATGCTAAGTAGCTTCAGTCATGTCTGACTCTGTGCAACTCCATGGACTGTAGCCTGTCAGGCTCCTCTGTCCACAGGATTCTTCAAGTAAGAATACTGGAGTGGGTTGCAATGCCCTCCTCCAAGGGATCTTTCCAACCCAGGGATTGAACCTGCGTTTCTTATGTCTCCTGCATTGGCAGGTGGGTTCTTTACCACTAGCGCTACCTAGGAAGCCTTTTCCTATGGAATACATCCCTCCTACCAGATTATATGCTCCCTGGGGGTAGTGACTTGATGTTATAACCATTCCCTAGGTTTGCCATAAAAAAGTACCCCCACTAGGTGGCTTAAACACAGAAAACTGCTTTCTCACAGCTGTGGAGGCTAGAAGTCCAAAATCAAGGTGTGGGCAGCACTGGTTCTTTTTGAGGGCTGTGCAAGAAGAGTCTGTTCCAAGTTTTTCCACATTGGCTTGTAGATGGCCACCTTCTCTGTCTCTTATCAGTATGTTTTTCCTCTGTGCAAATCTCTGTATCCATTCTACCAGTCATACTGGATTAGGACCCACCCTACTGACTTCACTTTAACTTGGTTATCTCTGTAAAGATCCTATCTCCACATACCTGTGTCCAAATAAGGTCACATTCTGAGGCACTGGGCCTTAGGACTTTAACACATGAATTTTAGGAGACATAATTCAACCTGTAACCCCACTCGAGAAAATGCATAATACTAGACTGACTTATACAGAAACCAAGAGCTATTTCTTTGGATTTAATGAATAAAAATAACTGCTCACATACATGCAACACTCACTATGTGCCAGGTACTGTCCTAAGCATTTTATACGTATGAATTCATTTAATCCTCACACTTGTCTACATGAAAAACCAAGGCAGAGAGAGATCAAATAACTTGCACACTGTCACACAGTAGGCAGCAGAGCCAGGATTTAACCCCAGGCAGTCTGGCTCCAGCCTGTCTTTTAACTGCAGCACCCCACCGTCCCCACTGTTTAGCTAAATAAGGCATTAGGTGGACTGCAACTGGGAATTTTAGGGACCTAAAAATACACCACTCAAAGAGAAAAACAAGCTTACATTGAAGGGAAATATCATTTCATGGTGATTTAAATGTATTCCCTTAGAATCATTTACCAGAAATTATGACCAAAGACCTAGCTATCTTCCCAGATGGCATTAAAGCAGACCCAGAGTGCTTGTGTCTCTTGTTTTAATTAACAACCTCATTATGCTGTGGAAAGGTGAAAAGCAAAGAGCTCTGTTAATGAGGCCAGGTTGGTAAACAGTGGTAATGACCCAGTTATTAAATCTAATGCCTTAAAAATTCAGCCCATCATGTTCAAGACATTTCATTGGTAAGATTACAAAGAAGAATTAGCAAGAAAAGTTGTTCCTTGTGTGGAGAAAAAGAAGTTACAACACAGAATTGCTGGGCACAAGATATATGAAGGAAAGGGGTGAGTCAGAATCTTGGATGGTAAAATCTCCAACTAGATGGCAAAGACCCAGGGGCTATCTTGCTGCTCAAATGGAAAGAGAAATACCTGGATAGAAGACACCCTCGGGCTTCGATATACAAGTCAGAAGTTCATCTGGTTCAGATCTGAGTGTCTGCAGCTGTCTCCTAGTCATAGTTTATGAGTAATCATAGAAGGTAGATTCCTGGGTTACAGGGCAGCAAGCCTCTGCTTGATCAAGCACAGAGAGCTGGAGTAGCAAAGAAAGAGCACTTTCCTATATTTCTCTTTCTAAAAACTTCAACACCCATGGAAATGAACATAGACGTAGCCAACCATCTCTCCTTCAAGACAGCAGGATGACCCCGCTGGTAGAATCCTAAATACCAGGGCCTGGAGAGCTCTCATAGACTGTAGTGGGTTAAATTGATTCCCCTAAAAGATATGTCCAAGTCCCAACCCTTGATACCTGTGAATGTGACTGTGTATGGAAACAGAGTCTTTGCAGATATAATTAAGGCTCTTGGATCCTGGATGAGTGTGAACCCTAAATATAATAAGATGTATTTATAAAAGAAGAGAAGGGGAGGGAGAAGGACCCAGGAAAGAAGGCTGTATGAAGATGGAGGCAGAGACTGGAGTTAACACTGACCCAAAACCAAGGAACAAGTTACTAGAAGGTGGAAGAAGCAAGGAAGGACAGTCTTCAGAGGAAGTACAGATCTGCTGACACCTTGATTCCAATTTCTGGCCTCTGAGAGGATAATTTCTTTTATTTTAAGCCACCAAGTTGTAGCAATTTGTTACAATAATCCTACGAAAGTAATAAAATAATTTTGGAAATTGGATCCAATTTTAGTATTGCATGCAAAGGTGTCAGGGTTCAAAGAATGTCAGTTGGTTTAGGTAAGGCTCCTTTATCCACTTCAGCAAACACATACTTACAAGCATATATGCACACATACACAAAATAAAGCACTACTATGAGAGTCATGTTTCTGCCTTTTCTGCATAAGTTAACCTTCTGACCTCAAAAACATTTTGGTCCCAATTATTTTTAATCTGATGTCTCTTTACTATATACTAGGCATGGTGGTATAGATAAATAAATATTCAAAGAAACTACATTTAAAAGTAACTGCTCAATACCTGATGATTTTGGTCAAGTTACTGACTGCTTAGAATCTCAGTTTTGACATCTCTAAAATGGAGGCAATAATATCAGTGGTATCTAGCTTTAAAACTGTTAGTAAAGATTCAAGATAGTGTATATGAGACAGCACAGAGCTGAGACATGTTACACAGGAGGAAGATCTCTGTAAACAGCTATCATTATTATATTCAAATATTTAACTGTCTTAGCAAGAGTAAATTGAAATGCATTAAAAAAACAGAAAAAGAGCAACCTTTTCAAATATTTATAACATAGACAATTTTTAAAATATTAAGGCATACAATATAAAGAGTAAAGATTTCTGCTTAATTAAGTCCACAATGGAGTAATAGGGACTGTATTTACACTCTCATCTTAAACTTGGAAAGCCAGACAAAATACATTAATAGTTTTCAGACACTGAACAACAGGCATTGCAGGCCTATGACCTTGCAGAAAGGAAACACATGAAATTACCTCTGTGACTGCCCTAGCTGACTGCCTGGAGGCAGTTTTCAGGCATGCGAGAATGCAATCAGTGCCCAGTAGTCTCACTAAGCTGAAGAGTCAAATGTTAGAATTCAGGGAGGCTGGAGAAGGCAGTGGCAGCCCACTCCAGGACTCTCGCCTGCAAAATCCCATGGATGGAGACTGAGCGACTTCACTTTCACTTTTCACTTTCATGCATTGGAGGAGGAAATGGCAACCCACTCCAGCATTCTTGCCTGGAGAATCCCAGGGACAGGGGAGCCTGGTGGGCAGCCGTCTATGGGGCTGCACAGAGTCGGACACGACTGATGTGACTTAGCAGCAGCAGCAGCAGAAGTGGCTAGAACTTGCAGGGCAGAGTAAAAGAAAGCTACAGCTGCACAGGAAAAGGCCTCCAGGCAGATCTGCAAGGCTTTGGCTGCATACAGATAAGAGCATGCATGAAAGGAAACTTCTCAGGGCCAGTGACAGAACTATCAGAAAACAGTAGACTCAACACTCCAGAACACACACAGGGCTGGGGATAGTTCATGTTCTCACCAGGTAAAGTGTAAAGACTTTGTAATAAGAGTAGAGTTCTCAAAAATTTAGTAGTGGGGCTAAATGAGCCCTGGATCACAGGGTGCTCTGGATCTAGGATGACCAATTTGTCCTAGTTTACCTAGAGCTTTCTCAACTTTGCAGAAGCTCCCTTCAGGCTCAGTTTTTCAAATTTGATGAAAACTATAAACCTATAGGCCTAAGAAATTCAATGACTCCCAAGCAGAAGAAACATAAAGAAAATCATACCAGGGTACATAATAATCAGCTTACTAACAAACCAGCGATGAAAAGAAAACCTTCAAAGCAATCAGAGGGGGAAAATATACTTTATATTAAGAGAGGCAAAGAATGACAGCTGGGCTTCCCTGGTGACTCAGGGGTGAAGAATCCACCTGTCAATGCAGGAGACACAGGCTCAACTCTGATCTGGAAAGATCCCACATGATACGAAGCAACTAAGCCCATGAGTCACGACTACTGAGCCTTGCTCTGATGACTTTTTTCTTCAAAGACTTCTTAATTTGAATTAGGGTCAAGTTGTTACAGTCTGCCATGCCTATAGGCACCTCACTTTCACTCTACATTTTTCCATAAAAAGTGCATCTGTAAATACTCTCAGACTTGGAAGGAAGTCTATTCCTTTTGTGTCAGTGTAGTTCTCTGCTTCTCAAGGTGAATAATTGCCTGCAAGCCAATAGTATGAATTATGGGAGTTCATCACACATGCAGAAGTAGAATGTGTAACAATAACACATAGATGGAAATGGAAATGTACTGTTAAAAGGTCCTTACACTGCATATAAAGAGGTATAACATTATTTAAAGATCAGTTCAGTTCAGTCACTCAGTCGTGTCCAACTCTTTGCAACTCCATGGACTG